GAGTCACCAGCAGAGATAAAGAAAGGAGGAGGATGTCTGTTTCCACAGAGCCCATTTCATAGTGATGGAAGAGGCACCTGCTCTATGACAGTATTGGGGGACCTGATCACACCTCTCAGCATTGGACAGATCATTTGGGCAGCAAATCAATAGAGTAACCATTATTCTTTCAGAGGGAGAGAAGAAATCTAAGGTGATTAGAGGGGAGAGGGGGGAGGGAAAAGGGGGATGGGGAGGGATTGGACAAGGGGCATAAAGAATAATTATGATTCGTAACAATATATATGCTAGTAATATTGATTTGATCAACATATCTCAATGTTGAACCCCCCAAATTTTTATAATCAGTTTTGATTCAATAAAAATTTAAAAATAAATAAATAAAAATTTTAAAAATGGCTTGGGAAAAAAATTACAAGACTCTCTATGCAGATTTAATCAGAGGCAAAATGTTCTAGTACAGATGTTTTGCTTTGAAATATGTAGTGCTCTTTTTTTTTTTTTTTTTTTCCTCTTGGTGGCTGGCCGGTATGGGGATCCAAACCCTTGACCTTGGTGATACAACACTGTGCTCTAACCAACTGAGCTAACTGACCAGCTCTATAGTGCTCTTTTTTTATTACTGGCTTTACCCATTTTCCCCACACATGGTTTTAACATTTTTTTCCATCGTACCTCAATCTGATTACTGTAGTGGCCTGGATTTTGTAACGTAAATTTCGTCTGTATTTTGATGTTTGTTTTTTATATACTGTGACTTCCCCTTTTAAGTCCAGCCATTTGGTTTCGGAATTGCCCCCCTTTCAGAAACAGTCTCTTCTAGATTTTAGTGTTAATTTTGGAGCATTCAGTCAGGCAGAAAAAGAATTCATGTATCTCACTAGTTTTTGTGCTTCATCGTGTTCAAGTGGCATCATTAAGTTGCCCTATAGATCTTGGAGTTAATCAAAGTAGACATTTTTATAGCCAAAACAGCAGAGGTCTAACCACAGTCTGAAGTGTATCTGAGATGGGCATGCAGGGAGGACCTCAGTTCAGGTCAGCCTCAAAAATAACTTGGTATTTTATTAAGAATTCTCCTTTCTTTTTTCTTTTCTCCTCCTCTGAAAGCTTAGACAGATGAGCCTCTACCCAAACCAAAGAGAGAGAATCCACGCCCCCAAAGGATTGATAAAAATCCTATGTTCACACGCCAAACACTGGATAAACAGTGATCAGCATTTATAATGAGCTCACTGATTCTCAGTATGAGAGGCTTACTGTTTTGTTGTGTTTGGAGTTTTGTTTTTATTTTTGTTTTTTAACTACAGCCAACCGCAGAAGTGTTTACAAGCTGGAGAAAGAAGAACAAATCCCAGATGGAATGTGTATTGACACTGAGGGGAAGCTCTGGGTGGCCTGTTACAATGGAGGAAGGGTGATTCGTTTAGATCCTGAGACAGGTAGGCCCACAGCAAAGTGAAAAATGCCTGCCGTGTCTAGAAAACACCAGACACTAAGGACCGGGGAAACCTCATTACTGATAAAGTTAGAAATATATTCAGTGGTCTCAATTGGATGATTTTTGAAATAAAGACCAAAGGTATAGCCCGAAATTTATAGTCAGCATTTCTTTTCCTGTGGAGGTAAGTCATTTTGCTCAAAATAAATTGTCAGGGAAGGTGGGTTAAATACATGGACAAATTCTGACCTCCACGGTCTTCTTAGAACTTCCCTATAACTCCACAAAGGGTCCAGAAATGTTGCACAGGTTGGAAATTGCGAGCACTAAACTTTAAATAAAATATTGGTAATCTAGGGAAAAGACTCCAAACCGTGAAGTTGCCTGTTGATAAAACAACTTCATGCTGCTTCGGAGGGAAGGATTATTCTGAAATGTATGTGACCTGTGCCCGGGACGGGTTGGACCCTGACAGTCTTTTGAGGCAACCTGAAGCTGGTGGGATTTTCAAGGTGATATGGCTATTTCTTTTATTTTGGAGGTTGGGTAGGGTATGCTCTTTTAAGTAACTGAGTGATTGGTACTTTTGCATACTTCCATAACACTATTCTATTTAGCTTGTTAAGCTCATCAAACTAGACTTACAAACATTTTATTTCAACTTTCTAGACTGTAAGTTATCTGAAGTCCAAGATAATGTGTTTAGCCTACTTTGTACGGTACTTAAAAATATTTTTTTTGCTTCAGTAGTATTTGTTGAAATTCTTCAAATCAGTAGAAAGAACTTGGAAAACCAGCGTTTGAAACTTGCTGGTTTTGAGACTACTTGATTGTTTTAATGTCAAGAATATTTTCTAGTTTTTAATATTTTTTTGCAACAGAACAAACACTGATGAAAAGCATAGACCTTTTGAGCTGCAAAGAGATATAGAAAGAGAGAGAATCCACCACCCCCAAAGGATTGGTAAAAATCCTATGTTCACACGCCAAACACAGGATAAACAGAGTGATCAGCATTTATAATGAGCTGGAGAGCTCACTGATTCTCAGTATGAGTGGCTTACATACTTCTCACCTCAGGTGAGAAGATGATAGAAATAAATTCAGTTTTAAACTCAAGTTAGTTGTAAATGGTTGCTAGTTGGATTATAATCTATGTGAATTACTGGTTTGGACCATAAATACCTAACCAAGTAATTCCTTTTTATGATAGGAAATAAAACAAGGATAATAGGTGGCTAAGTATATTATTATAAATCATAGAAATGATTCTGAAGAATACTTGTGAATTGCCCTTTGTCAGAACTTTTCTCTTTTCTTATTTCAACAGATAACTGGCCTGGGGGTCAAAGGAATTGCCCCCTATCCGTATGCGGGATGAGTGACAGGTCTTTCCTGCTAGAAGAAGCTTTGAAGACAACCAGAGAATTCTGGTGCTGAAATTTTAATCTAGTTAGAAAAATGAAGGAATGGTATTATTAACAGGGTTAAATTTTAATTTACAATTTTTAAAAGATAGAGCCTTTTTAACGGGGGGTGACAGGTAGGCCTTCTGTAAAAGGTGCTATAGAAAAGCAAAGAATTGCTCAACTGTCAACCGGCCTCTTGATTCTTTGCAAAATGCTGAATGTGGGGTGGGGGGATAGGAGACCTTACTTGTTCTTTATTCTGCATTCCATACTTAATATATTTAAAGCTTCAAAAAACTAATAAATAGTAACCTGGTAATGACTGATTACAATTACATTCTTTTTTATTTTCATTATAATCTTATAAAATATGCCATGATGCTAACCTACCTTGATATTACTTTTTCTATATGTTATTTTACAAACTAAAATACTGCTGGAAGATGACTCAAACACTCTGGCAAAATCCAAGGTTCCAGCTGCCACCTAGTGGATATAAAAGTAATATATCACTTCGGAAAGTATGCTTTAAAAAAAGCTTTAGTGAGTTTTAATTGGCCTTACATATGTAAAGTGTACAATTTGACAAACTTGTCATATATATACATTTATGAAACTAACACCACAAGTAAGATAATAAATCTATCTACTACCACGAAAGTTTCCTTGTGTCCTGTTGTAAGCCTTTCCTTCTGCCCCTCTACGTTCCTTTCCCCCATCCCCAGGAAACCATTGATCTTCTTTCTGTCACTATAAATTATCCTTAAAGTTGGGTAGTGTGATTTCTCCAACTTTATTCTTTTTCAAAATTGTCTTAGCTATTTTAGTTATTTTGGCCTTCCATATGTATTTTATAATCAGCTTGACTATATCTACAAAAAAACAAAACAAAACAAAACCCTGCTACAATTTTAAATGGAATTGCTCTACATCTGTAGAACAATTTGGAGAGAATTGGCATCTTTACTATTTTGAATCTTCCCATCCATAAACACAGCATGTCCCTCCAATTATTTAGGTTTTCTTCTATTTATTTCATTGGCATTTTGTAGGTTTCAGCATTCAGATCTTGTACATGTTTTGTTAGATTTATATCCAAGTATTTCATTTTGGGGAGCCATTATAAATGTTATTACTTCTTACTTTTTGTTTCCAATTGATCAATGCTTGTTTATAGAAGTATGATTGGCGTTTGTAGTTTGATCTTGTATATGATAACTTTGCTAAACTCACTTATTAGTTCTAATAGTATTTCTGTAGCTTCTCTGAGATTCTTTGGATATGTAACCATGTCTACTGTGAATAGAGACAGTTTTATTTCTTCCTTTTCAATCTGTATGTTTTGGGCTGGCTGGTTATCTCACTTGGTGACACCAAAGTCAATGGCACCAAAAGACAAAACCAACGTGATGTTTTTATTTCTTTTTCTTACCTTATTGCACTAAGACTGCCAGCACTATGTTGACTAGGAATAGTAAGAGTGGATGTCATTGTTTCGTTCCCAATCTTAAGAGAAAAGCATGCAGTCTTTTAGTCATTAAATATGTTAGCTGTGTGTATGTTTGTGGACGCCCTTTCTTGGGTTGAGAAAGTTCCCTTCTAGTCTAGTTTGTTTAGAGGTATTTTTTTTTAAATCGTGGATGTATTTTGTCAAATGCCTTTTCTGCATTTATTGATGTGATCATGTGATTTTCCTTCTTTAGATTGTTAATATGATAGATTCTTGCATTCCTGAGATAAACCCTCCTTGGTCGTGCTATATTATTATTTTTATATGTTGCTGGATTCTATCTTTTAATATTTTGTTGAGGATTTTTACATTTATGTTCGCGAGAGATATTGGTCCCTAGTTGTCTTTATTTCTACTCTCTTTTTCTGGTGTTGATATCAGGGTACTACTGGCCTGATAAAATGAGTTGGGAAGTATTAACTCCTCTTTATTTTCTGGAAAAGATAGTGTATAATTATTATTTATTCTTTAAATACTTGGCAAAATTCACCAATGAAACCATGTAACAGTCAGTTTCTGTCGCTTATAACAAAATACCTGAAACTGGGTAACTTATAAAAAAACAATATTTATTGCTTACAGTTTCTGAGGCTGAAAAGTCCAAAGTCCAGGGAACACATCTGGTGAAGGTCTTTGGTGGTGGCTTTACAGAGACACAGACTATCACATGGCAAGATGGCGGAAGCAGAGAGAGAGAACTTCTCATGTGCTCTCCTTTTAAAGCCCTCAGAACCATGCCCATGACCACTACTAAACCATCAACTTAATCACCTCTTCAAGCCCCACCTTTCAATGATCATAATAGGATTTCCCACCCTCTTAACAATTACAGTGGGGATCAAGCTTCTAATAGGTAAAACTCAGGGGACACAATTCAATCCACATCAGATCACTTGGACCTGGATATTTCTTTTTCAGAAGGTTTTTTCTCAGTTGGTTAGAGCACAGCCTTGTAACACCACGGTCAAGGGTTCAGATCCCCATACCGGCCAGCTGCCAAAAAAAAAAGAAAAGAAAAGAAGGTTTTTAACTTTCCTTAATAATTATAGGACCACTCAGGTTATCTACTTAATCTTGGTGAGGTTTGGTAGTTTTGGGCTCTTGAGAAATTGGTCTTTTTCATTTAAGTTGTCAAATTTATGTGTGTAGAGTTGTTTATAGTATTTCCTTATTATCCTTTTAATAATGTATGTGAGGTTTGTAGTGATATACCCTTTTTTCCTGATATTGATTATTTCTGTCTTCTCTTTTTCCTTTGCCAGTCTTCCTAGAGGTTTATCAGTTATATCGATCTTTTCAAAGAACCGGTTTTTGACTTTTTTTTTTCCCGACCCTTCATTCATTTTTTTTGGTTGTCAATTTTATTGATTTATCGTCTTATCTTTGTTATTCCTTCTGTCTGCTTTACTTGGATTTCTTTTGCTCTTTTTCTGTCTTCTTAAATTGGAATCTTAGATTATGGATTTGAGACATTTGTTCTTTTCTAAAACAGCATTTAATGCTATAAATTATCCTCTCACCACTGCTTTCTCTGCAGCCCACAAAGTCTGATATATTGTATCTGTATACTTGTTAAATTCAAAATATTTTCTATTTTCCTTAGAGACTTTTTCTTTGACCCATGGATTATTTAGAAGTGTGTTATTCGGTTTCCAAATTATTGGAGATTTTACTGTTATCTTTTTGGCATTGATTTCAGATTTAATTCCATTATGGTCAGAGAGCATACTTTCTATGATTTCAATTGTTTGAAATTCATTAAAGTTTGATTTATTTTCCAGGTTATGGTCTATCTTGCTAAATGTGCACTTGAGAAAAATGTGTATTCTTCTGTCATTGGATGGAATGTTCTATAAATGACAGTTAGATTCAGTCAGTTGATGGTGTTGTCCAATTCTTCTATCACCTTCCTGAGTTTTTGTCTATTCTATTACTGAGGAAGAAGTGTTGAAATCTCCAACTATAATTTTCGATTTGTCTATTTCACTATTCAGTACTGGCAGTTTTTGGTTTGAATACTTTGGAACTCTGCTGTTAGGTGCACACACCTTTACACTTGTATGTCTTCTGGGTGAATTGACCCTTTTCAGTATGTAATATCTTTCTTTATCTCCAGGAATTTTCTTTGCTCTAAGGTCTAATTTGTCCAGTTTTATTTTGGTTCATGTTTACATCTTTTTGGTATATCTTTTTCCATCCTCTTACTTTTAAACTACCTGTCCCATTATATTTGAAGTGAGTTTCTCATAGATAGCATATAGTTGGGTCATTTTTAAAATCTCTGACAATCTCTGTATTTTAATTGATGTGTTTAGACCATTTATACTTGGCATAATTATTGATGTGTTTGGATTTAGGTCTGCCATATATTATTTGCTTTCTCTTTTTTTTTTTTTTTAAGATGACCGGTAAAGGGATCTTAACCCTTGGCTTGGTGTTGTCAGCACCACGCTCAGCCAGTGAGCAAACCGGCCATCCCTATATGGGATCTGAACCCATGGCCTTGGTGTTGTAAGCACCACACTCTCCCAAGTGAGCCACGGGCCAGCCCTGCTTTCTCTTTATTTCATATTTATTGTTCCTCTGTTTCCCCTTTCCTGCCTTCTTTTGGGTTATTTGAACATTTCCTTGTTTCTTTTGTGATTCTGACTGTATCTACTTATATAATTTTTTTAGCGACTGCTTTAGGGATTATAAAATACAGAATTAACATTTTGTAGTCTATTTGGGATCATATTTTACCACTTCAGTTGGAATGTAATACTCTGGTTTCTCTTCAGATTGTATAAATCTTTCGCCTTTTACTTCAGTTGGAATGTATAAACCTTGCCACGGTATAGGTCCCTTTACCCTTCCTTCTTCATGTTATATGTGTGTTATATACTATATCTATTTGCTTTGAAACCATCAGTGTTAAATGTTTTGCTTTTAACTGTCAAGCATGTTTTAAAGAACTCAAAAGGAGAAGAATAGTCTATTGTATTTACCAGGATATTTACTATTCCTTTTCTTCCTTCATTTCTGATGTTCCAGGTTTCCTTCTTGTATCCTTTTTTATTGTCTGAAGAACTTCCATTAGCAATTCTTCTACAACAGGTATGCTAGCTACAGATTCTCTTAGTTTTCTTTTGTATAAGAATGTCTTTATTTCACCTTCATTTCTGAAAGCCTTCTTTTTTTCTTTTTTTTCTTTTGGTGGCTATCTGGTACAGGGATTGAACCCTGGATCTTGGTGTTATCAGCACCTGTCACCTCTCTCCCCCTGGGTGATGGAGACACAAAAAGGATTACTCAAAGCCCATTTCTTCTGAGCAGTGAGAAGCCCCAAAGGGGTTAATTTTCAATGAACCCTCAAGAGAGAGGCTTTCCTCTTGGGAAAATTAACACTGGACTGGGGTTCTTTCTCAGTATTTATTCTCCACGCCAGAAAGTTACAGAAAAGGAACATAGGTGGAGTTATGGCTAAGTATAGTTTAACAATAGAAGCTGGTAACATCAGTGAAATAACAGAGTGATATTCCATAATGCAATTAGTAAAAAGTTGTCAGTCCACCAACAAAAGCTTGTTCTTAGCAATTACTGTCTTTTCCTATAGCTATTTCCTCAGTATTTTAACATAACAATAAAGCAACTTTTTTAACATATCAATCAGTAGGTTAACTGGTCCAAGGACGTCTGTCGTTGAGCCAACAATTTTGCTGTGTTATAATTCCTTATTTACAACAGAGACTTTAGCCTGGGGAAAGTTTCCTGTCTCTTGCAAGAACCCTTGACTTGGTGTTGTCAGCACCACGCTCAGCCAGTGAGCAACC